GCTGGAAGTTTGCAGTGATCTGTGTTTTTGAGGGGGTGGTAGCAATTGCAAATGCTCCCTTTTGTTATGTTGCTGCTCAGTAATTGGAGTGGGGGTGGAGGGAGAGCATATTAAACAAAGCAGTATGTGGCTAAATCCCCCCTTCATTTAAGGGGAGCTGTCCAAAATAAGAGGCTGTGCTTTACTTCTCTTTATATCCCTGTCGAAGTTTGCAGTGATCTGTGTTTTTGAGGGGGTGGTAGCAATTGCAAATGCTCCCTTTTGTTATGTTGCTGCTCAGTAATTGGAGTGGGGGTGGAGGGAGAGCATATTAAACAAAGCAGTATGTGGCTAAATCCCCCCTTCATTTAAGGGGAGCTGTCCAAAATAAGAGGCTGTGCTTTACTTCTCTTTATATCCCTGTCAGGCTCGGTGTTGGCAAGCTAGCTTCTCTTGCAAAGATCTGCACTGCAGATGCCTTCTTGGAGGGGGGGAAAAACTGGGCAGGTGACAGCTCTTAAAGGGGCAGCGCTTTTTATAACAGCCATAACAATGATAAACACAATTTCATCTTTTTCAACAAGCATCCAGAGCAAAAATGATTTGTTAGCTTTAAAAATTCATGGGTCTTCTGTTTTAACTTGTTTACCAAATTGCCTGTCTCCTGCGTGGGAATGTACCAGGCTGGCATGTTTTTCTCACTAAATAGAATTCATTTGGTTGAGAAGCTGATTTTCCGGGGTGGCTGTAGAAACTGCTCATCCCAGCACATGAGCTGTACAGCAGCTTCCATCTTTCGTCTTAAAGCCCAACACCCTTTTGAAGTGCCATACAAGCCTAATTTCAGAGATGAAATGGCTTTCCTACTTCTTAGCAGGACAGGTCTGTGTGGTTACATGCAAGCGAAGGAAGATGAGGCAGCATGCTTTCACACTTCAGCCTTACAGCATGCGAGTATAATGTATGCCTTTCTGGAACCTTGTGTCATGATGCTTTTCCACCCCCTCCTTGCAGATGTTTTAGTTTGTGCCAGAACTGGGGTGCAAAGGGAGGTTATTACTCAGCAATTTAGTGCTTTGCCTTCATCATTATTGGTTAATCCATCACCCTGTCTGCTCTGAAATGCAGCCCTTTCACCCAGTATTTGAGGACTGTTTATTCTCTGATTCACCACAATTGTTTGTGAATTACCTCAGCTATCCTAGAAATCAAACCTTTGTCCTCAAATTCTCCAGATAAGCTAGTGTTCTATAAATGTTGAGCCATCTTGACAGCTATTGGCACCGTGGTTTAACAGACAGTTTGTAATCAGAAGGCAAAAAGGGTTCAGAGTCATGTTTCTTCTAGAATCAGGTGTGGACTCTGTTCCCCAAGAAGATTAATTTATGCCCAGTGTCTGCCTGAAGCTCAGATTAAACATATGCAAGATGATATACCAAAATGATGTAATATGACTCACATGTAACAGTCATGTTTTCCGCTATTGGGGAAGTGGTGTCGTTTAGTGATTAGAACCTTGGTGTCCAACCAGTTCTGAAGCCATTATAGTGGCTACTGCTGTAGCGAACTAGCCACACACAACCAGTCAAATAGCCACACGTGGCTAGTGGATAGCGTGTTGGACACTACAAGGTTAGAACATGGAATGAAGGTGGATGGGTGTCAAATCTTCAGTTCAGTTTACCCATCTGTATTCAGGAGAATTAAGCTAATTCAGTGCTTATTAATGTGTTAATAGTAAAAACATGGGTAGCCTGCAAAACACATTTTATCTGACTTTTTTTCTATGTCCCAAAACTAAATGTTTATTACAGCAGTTTGTATATCTTATCACAACTGTAGTATCTGAACTTGGTTTTGTTCTAGATACTGTTTGCACTGCATTTTTTTTTATAAATTCCACTGCAAACAACATTTAAAAAAATCTTTGATGTCTTGATTTTTAAATAGCAACACTTCTGGAGATTAAAGCCATCTGTTTGCCCAGTGAACTGCTTATGCATAATGACTTGTGCCTCAGTTTGAGATGCTGCATAGTCATTCAAACTGGAGTCAATGAGAGCCATTAGTCCTCAGTATTTCCAAAAAGTCAGACTTTGTGCATGCTTAGAGAGCTTAACACTACTAATTTTATACAGTAACTCTTTAAACATGTAGACTTCTTCTGACTTAATCATAGTGAAGAAGTTAATTAAGATTTTATTACTGGTTACAAACCACTCCTCTGGATCACATGTCGTACAACAAAAATGATTTTTAAAATGCTTAGTTACCACTAGAACCTTGTATTTTGCGGCCTTGCCTTATCTCTGTCCCTCAGCCTGTAAGATAACTTTAATACACTTTTTTTAAATGATGCAGCATGATTACCAAGCTACCCTGCCCATTTGTTTAACATTTCATTTCAAGATTTGGTTTCTTCACTCTAAAAATTGTTGCCCTGGCCCACCTTTCCCCACTTAACTTGAAGAAGATACCATGGAGCATTCAGTGTTCCAGAAAAGTCCTGGTATGTAGAGTTTCTGTTGCAAGCTATGTAGTGCATTGGACTGGGACTCTGGAATCCTGGGTTTTATTCCCAGCTCTGCCAGTGACCTGCTGTGACTTTAAACAAGATCTCTTCCACTCCATGCCTCAGTTTTTCCTTCCTGTTTTGTTCACCTAGATAAAGCTCTCTGGGGCAAAGATTTTTTTTTTTTTATGCTAAGCATTGTACATGGGATCCTGAGATCATCTCACACTTCTCTGCTACTGGAATACAAATTAGGGATGTTAAAGTTTAATGGGTTAACTGATAACCTTATGCTTATTGGTTAATATTATCGGTTAAGCTCTGAAGGTGCCCTGCTGCCAGGAAAGTGGCTTCAGAGTTTAACTGATAAGCATCAACTTGTTGGTTAAATTCTGAAGCCCTCTCCCTGGGAGCAGAGCAGAGCTGGAAGGGGCAGGCGGCTCCACTCTCAGATGCTTTGCTGTGGGCTCTGCAGTATAAAACTTAAATAAGCTTTATACTGCAGAGCCCACAGCTCATGTAACCACAAAGATTTTCATCAGTTACACAGTGACTGTTTTAACCCACTTTTTACATCCCTAATACAAGTCATAATCCAGTTAAGGCTAATCACTGACCCTGTTTATAGAATAGTGATAGAAATGTAGCCGTGTTAGTCTGGGGTAGTTGAAGCAAAATGCAGGACAATGTAGCACTTTAAAGACTAACAAGATGGTTTATAGATACTGGGATGTAAAATCCCTAACGTTTAACTGATAAGCCTAATGTTTAAGTGGTTAATTGTCTAAGCAGAATCCTGGATAGGGGGCTGCCTAGCCCAGCTGAAGTGGCCCACAGCCTGTGGGGCTCCAGTTCTCGGCCCCCACTGGCTCTTGGCCTCCATGCTGGAGCTAAGACTGCTGATGCTGGCTCCCAGCCCTCACACTGGGGCTCCTGCTGCTAGCACTGGAGCAGCCCTCTGCCCCACGGTAGGTTGCTCCCAGGGAACCGGTTAACTGTTATGCAGTAAGGATGATGCTTACTGGTTAACCATTAGTTGTTCACATCCTTAATAGATACATTAGTTTTTACCATTAGGAAATCAGCTTCGTCATTCTTTGGTTCTTAAAAGGCAGGCAGGTTGAGGTTTGTCTAGTCACTAGTGCAGGGGCTTGGGTGTAGAAACTCCTTGTTTCCAACCTCTGTCATGGAGTCACTATGACAAGACACTTCATCTTGCTGTGTCTCAACTTCCCCCATGATATTTTTTTTGTCTTCCTTAGGATGGTTTTGTGCCTTAAAGCATTATGAATCCTTGTTTGAAAGATACGGGAT